TTTTGGTATATTCTCTGAGTACAGAGAAGATGCATAGGTGCAACATATTTAATTGTTCCAGTTAACCAACAGTGTGTAGTTGAAAGCAGAAGTTCAAACATTTCTTATATCATCTTATAAAGGCAGTGAACATGTGAAGTAAACAAACTTGCTTTGTCTAACCAGCTCTTGGTCAGGATGTAGAGAGTGGGTTTTCATTTAGAGCTATCCAACTGGCTTTGCATCTCTCATACACCCATAATAAAATTCCAGCACTCTAAACAATGCAAGGGTTTTGGCGCAAAACACTGGTGAAGAGTTTTCCTGCAGAGAACAAGGGTTGGAACAGAAAATGCAGATGTTAAAGAAGCAGAAGCTGATAAGGGAGTCTCCACCCTTTGACAAGTGCATCATGTAAGAAACCAGGAGGAGGTGCAGCACATTTCTCATTGGAACCTGTGATATTTTGATCAACATGCCTAGAACCATTTACCTTTCCTTCACGAATAGTGGTCAAACCTGCTACCTGCTGAAAACAATTCTTGACCTGCAGTTGCGGGACTTAACTGCTTTGCACTGGTTAAATCCAACTCGATCTTTAATTAGATGCTGGCTGCAGGCAGAGGTGTAGCATTACATGACGTTTTGTTTCCTGGTTTGATTATAGAGTTGAATTAAATTACCCTTTATTGTTTCTAATGGAACATACAACATATACCGGATACATACATATACATGCTGTACATATACAACATACATACAATATGTACAGCAATAATACAATACAACAACAGTCCAATACTATAACACAAAACAGCATTCCAACAATATCGCTCAGTCAGAACTCCTCCAGTACCATAAAATTAAAAAACAGACAATTATCCATTCATCCATGTTCTAGCTGCTCCTTCCAACTCATTGTCACAGGGGTGCCGGAGCCTATCCTGGCAAACAACGGGCACAAAGCAGGGTACCCCCTGGACAAGACAGCCGTCCATCATAGGGCAGACTTTCACAAACACACACGCACTCACACCAGGGCTAATGTCCCAGAATTACCCTACCCCACCAGGATGGAGGGAAGAAACCGGAGCACCTGGATGAACCCTAAATGAACGGGGGGAGGGGGGGGAGAACATGCAAACTCCACACAGACAGCACCTCAGGTGCGGAACTGAATCCAGGGCCCCAGCACTGCGAGGCAGCAATGCTAACCCCTGCGCCACTGTGCGACCCACTAACAGATGATCAGAATCTAAAATAAATGTACAGTACATCTACCACCATCCCACACACATGAGCCCTGCAGAACTGACAAGCTTTTCAAGCTGCCTCACACGCCCCCACACCACAACATCTCTGTGACACCTGAAGAATGGCTCCGCTATGATAAGAAACCTTCGGCGTCGGGTCTCTGACTTTGGTCTACAAAGTCTCCTGCGGATGATCTATCGGCTAAACGTCGTGCAAATGGTTAACGCGTCTCGTCACAGGGTGTTATGCTGAATGCGAATTAAACAATATTGGGCAACCTTTTCTAATGTCTGCAAGGGCACTAGTGTTTGTTTGGGAATCCGTTATGATTTCTCCATTCCAGAAACTGTGCGGTTCTCTGGCGAAGATGAAGAAATAAGCACACGAGTGACCGATCTGCCAGTCTCGCCGCAAACCTGCCAGTAAGGGAAGTCACACGCAGTCAAAACTTCATCCGTGGGATTGTAGCAGATTTATTTTTTTTCCGTTTCTTTCAATGAAGATAAAGTTATTTTGGACTTGAAAAAATCATGGAAATAACCGAAACGTTATCACGGTTTAAGATCGTGTGTTTCGGTTTCCTGCTTGAAATACCCGGCGCATGGTTTTTGTTTTGTCTTTTCTGATTTTTTGTTTATTTTGACCCGCAGTGAAATGAGAGCTGTCTTTGTTCTTCGACAGAGAGTGTAGTGTTTGCTCTGTGCATTGTTTCTCAACACAAAACTAGACTACATTTATTGTTGCGGTTGCCGGTTTTCAGGAAAAAAAAGTATTGAGAGTGTTAAAAAAAACTTTCGCTTTGCTAAAAGTCTTTCTTTTGATGCTTAGAAAGGAATGTTGCCACAGCACAGAAAACTGTGGTTACATTTCTTTGTAAACTACAGAAGAAGGACTTTTGTCCGAAACGTCCTCAACCCAAAGATTTTTAAAAAAATAATTTAAACCTTGTGTGCAACATGAAACGTCGTGCCTCTTTACTTGTGACTTAATTTAATAGCTTTGCTAAAGAAATAACTACATTGTAAAAAAATTAAACGTTACGATATGCTTTGAAGTCTATTTCAATGACGGCTGTAACTGGTTGAAGAAGCCATTAAATAGAAACTGAACTCGTGGAATAAATTCCACCTCGGTTGTACGCTTTCAGTTTTAATCCGAGCAAAACGCCCGTGTAGTGATAGAATAGTCCTGCCTGGGAGATTAATTTCCGGGTGGGGCACTGTGTTTGCACCTCTTCTAGGTACCCCTGCTCTATCTGCTGTTGTGGAATGCACAGCTGCATAAATGGAGTATAAATGTCAAGTCTCTGTGGACAAAAGCCACGGCCGAATACAATAATAACAGCAGACTAACGCATTTCATGCTTTGTTAAACCCCGGTGTGTTAAGTCTTCTCGTTATCGACTTGAAACAAACCGGTGCCGATGACAACAGTGCGAAAAGGAAAGCAGCGAGCGAATCATACCTGTGCACATTCACAATCATCTCCGTCCCCACCACATACACGACACGCGTGGTCACCCCACTCTCTATGCGCACAGTTCGCTGACGGACCATGATGAAGGCAGTCGTGCTTCTTCCACAGTACGGACGCAGTTCGGCTGGAGGTCTCCCGGCAAACCGCTATTCTGAGTTAGTGCAGCAGGAAGCGGCTCTGAACTGTCTTTTTCATAACAGGTGACTCCTCCGCCCACTCGAGACGAACTCTGCCGTGATTGGACAGACCCCTCGCAGTTCTCCCGTTCTTTTGAAGTTTGTCCCCGTGGCGGGTGACACAGTGACAAAGCGCCGTGCGGACGCGAGGTGGCGCCACAGGGCGCGTTCTGTGGCCGGACAGGGCCGGCTGTCGCGATGCGATGCTGACTGCCCACAGAGGGACGTACCGCGCTGAGGCGTCCTGCTTAGGTCAAGAAGTTCTACAGTAAGTCTACCCTCCAGGTGAGAAAGAGGTGTGATACTTAAGAGAAAAGGCATCAGACTGGATGAGCAAGAGGAAACTAAACGCATGCGTGCTTGAATAAATATAAGTTTTGTATTAGTCTTAACTGCTTCTGTTTTTCACTTGCAAACGTGCGAATAGTGTGCGGTGTTTAATATATAACACGCAACGTGCCGTGACATCGTGTAACTTTTGTCTAAGACGCGCCTGGGGTGGTTTTGTTAAAGAGGAGTCGTTGTACAGTATCTCACTTACGGATTTCAGCTTTTCACACTTTCACGCCCACATCTTCATTCGTTCGGGCAGCGAGTCTTACCTGTCTAGCCCATGGCTCTTGCGTTGATTCCTAATTATAATGCCTTAAACTTCTATGACGCTTTTCTGGACACTCCACTCTTCACGGGTAATGGGGACTCGCCTCCACCACCCCTGTGTAAGCTGAACGGTGTCTGTGTTACTATGCACGGTGACGTTCTTCCACTCTCTCCAGCTAGTACGCCTGTACCCCCTGACACAATCCGCTCGCCACACCGTCATTGCTCAGCAAAGGTTTTGGCATAATAAACAGTTAAGTGCAGTAAGAGTAAATTTTACTGTATCTGACATTATGCCCCTTCTTCTCACTGTAACGTCTCTCTGAGTTTCCCACTGAAAGACCACTTTGCTTATCGGTGTGCGACTTATTTACGTTGCTTTCCTTAATTGTTTTCCTTAATAAACTCAAGTTATAATAGTACAGTCTATGGATAACTTTAAAGCAATCATCGTCGTCGTAGTCCGGCCACTGACTGTGTGAGAGGAAGTGACACTTGAGTTTCTCTAGGAGCGGTAAGCGATATTTCTCAAGTTCTCTTATGATCAAAGCCGGGATAACGTGAGATCTGGGCTATGTGGAAAATCAAATTCCTAATGCAAGTGATCCAGTCCTGTGAGAGAAGTGTCCTGCCACATGTAACCAGCTTCACATGCAGGGACCATGTCAAACTATTGTTTTCAACACCAAGCTTCTCCTGAGTCCCTCCATCCATCTACTGAACTGCTCATCTAATTCATGGTTGTGGGGGGTGCCAGAGCCTATCCCAGCAAGCAACGGGGTGCAAGGCAGGATACACCCTGGACAGGACACACACTCACGCCAGGGCCAGTTTTCCCAGAAGACAATTAGATAGATACTTTATTGATCCCGTGAGGGAAATTGCAGTGCAGCAGCAGCTTAACACACACAACACAGCCACAGTGTAACGAATTATATAATAATAGTACAATACATACAATACAAGAGTTACTCACAGTCCGGACACACAAGAACAAACTAGAACAGAACAGTACACAGAAAATCGTATCACACATATGAATATAAATATAGATGAAAATATAGATATAAATATAAATGTATTGCACAGGTCCCTGGCATATATTGCACAAAAAAATGGTTGTAAACGGGAAAAAGAAAAAGAAAGAGAACAGATGTAGCAGTAGATGTGTAGATGCGTTAAGTCCAGAAACAGGTCACTGTCGAATTAACCTACCAGCATGTCTCTGAACTGTGGGAGGAAACCCAAGTGAACTGGGGGGAATATACAAACCCCACATATATAGCACCGCAGAACTGAACCCAGGGCCCCAGCATTGTGAGGCAGTAATGGTAACCACTGTGCCACCATGCTGCCTTCCTTTCCTGAACACACTTCTGTATTCACTCCTGCAGGGAGAGCTCCCAGGGGGGTATTTTTAAGTGATTTGTTATTGATGGTCTATGTCACTGTTATGCTCCAGCAGCCACACATATAGAGCTGTTTGCTTCTCAAATCAAGTTAAATCTTTTTCCACTGAAGAGGCAACAAAAGCGTTACTATTGTGTGGAATCACTGGGTCTGCAGATGACAAACTGGAGCTCTGCAGATTTACAACTTGACAACAGTGCTTCTGTCTGCACAAGCCAGCATTGTTCACGTTGCCCTGCCCAGCAGAACTAGGCCCGGCTTTGGAGAAAGAGAAAGCAAAGTCCCAGCTTAGTGCCTTAAGAAAAAGATGAAAGCCTTTCTGGCTTCACAACATCAAAAAAACAACAACAACAAAAAAAACAGGGATTTAGACATAGATGAAGAGAAGAAAAGATTATTTTGATATCCAGGTGAACTTAAAAAAAAAAACATGCTTGTCAGCTCTTTCTCCCATGTTTCTCCCTGAGGTAGAAATCGTGTCTAAACAAAATCCAGCTGATAAAAGCAGTAATTTCAGTGAAAAGCGGTCCAAATTATCCACAGTCCTCTCTCAGGAGTGTGCATTCTGCTGCTGATTCATATAAAATGTATTTTTCTCCACCAATAAAATAGATGGAGGTCAAACTAACCACGTGAGTCTTGTGTCTTTTTTTCAGTTTGTATCTACATAAATATTACGCTGTAAAACCAGATGCTGGCATTGAATCGGAAATAACGTACAGCCCATGACTTCTGCCTGAAATTTACCCTTTCCTTGTTGATCGTGACACAATCAATATTCAAAGTTTTTTAGCTTTTATATAAAAATGATTAATATATTTTTGTCACCCTTTTTAATTACTGCGAGATTCGAGAATACAATTTAATGTACTTAATTTATTTCATAATGTCATCTAACTTGTCTCGTTTATCCTGTTCCATTTTCATGCTTTGTGTCCAATTTCTAATCTATCACATAATGAGAAGAGAAATGCATTATTCATTCACATTGAATATTATTTCGCTGCGTTGTTCATCGGTACCTTAGCTGAGTAACCCGCGTTTCTTTCCGGACGTTTTAGTGAGTGGGAGAATCTGGCTTTCCAGCGGGGAAGAATAAATGGTCAGGACAGGAAGTGTAGTCTTGGAGTCACATTGAAGAAGCGTATTTTTAAGGTAAGTGGGAGAAAATTAGACGTTTTCTATTAAATTAAATCTGGGTTAACATCTAATATATATTTATAAAATAGTTGTAGCTTGAACACTGTTCATGTTTGTGCATTGAAGTGTTATGTTCTCTAATTTGACCTCGGAAAGTAACTAGTGGGTATACGGTAACGTTGTTGCTTATGGATCATTTGTACCTTGTATAGTACTGTGATGTTTTGTACGTTTGCTTATGACTGAGCTTTAATGAGCTGTGACTTTTCCTCTTAATTAATATGTAATTCATTTATGTTGCCGGTACCATACGTCAACGGTTCGTGCCCGACAACAGGTAAAGGCTACCGTGAGTGTGTGGTTTCTAGTCGGTTTCAACGAAATGATGTTACGCAGACACGTCTAACTTGTCCCTCCTGCTTTGATGAAGTACTTACGTGTTTTATCTTTTGAACTAAAACTGCAAGAAATCAGGTTCCGATGGGGAACTTAAAAGTCTTTTGCGTAACACACAATAGCGCAAAGTACTACATTTATAACGGTGGGTTGCATCAGCATTTGAATTGGAAAGTAATTTGTATAATCCCCAAATGATACTTGGGTATTTGTTTTATTCATTGTTAAAAACGTGACTATTTAGGATTCTGCGACGGTTTATTGCAACGGTGGCCGACGACAGCAACGTACACGAGGGTTAGTTAAGCCTTGTGCTCCGGGTTTCCGTTCCAGTTTAGTTTAACTGATTATTTTAGATACAAGTCCGGTTGTCTGGTTTAATTATTTAGCTGCTTATTACTGGTGTCTCTAAAACCTCTGGAATACTGGAACTCCAAGACTGTGATTTATCACCTCCGCGCTATCGGATTTGTATGTACCAGTACTCGTAAATTAGACAACTCCAGCCCTGCCCCAGGAACCGCAAAATAACCCAACTTGAGTCTTCTTCCCTCATCCGTACTTAAGACACCTGTTATCTGTACTCCGAGTAACTCAAATGAAATAATTGAGAACTCATTTGGAAAATTCAATCTTGTCCAAGTCAACTTGCTTAGTTGACTAGTACTTTCCAAGTACTGCTGATCTGTAGAAAGGGGTGATTTAGGGTGACTAATGAGATTTACTGGATTGAGGTTCACCAGAAACAGGGTTGGAGATCTCTGCTCTAAATGTTCTAGATTTCTGAAACAACTGTCAATACTGACCACTGTGGTCCGCATAGAGTAGAGTTTGCTGTCACTGCTTTACAATATGAGACACTTACATTACAGTACGTCTTGAATGTCTTACTGTGTGCTTTATTAAAATTATATTGTGCAATGAAGCACAAAGGCAGCATTACAGAATACAGAAAACTGATGACTGTGTATGCATTTTTAATACTATAAAAAAGTTTAATAAAAGGAGCATGACATTGAATTTACATGACGTAATTTTTGAACTGATCGATATGTCTGAATAGTGTAAATGTGTGTTTCAGGAGACAGTGGGATGAACTTGGGGGTTTTCATGACCTTGTAGGATTTCGAACAGGCAAGAAGATGTTTGTTTCCAGGTTGGCACTGCGTCTCAGAGCAAGCTGCACGGTGTCAGGTGAGCGCTGAGATACCGGAAAGCATTCTTGCTCATGTTCCACAGGTGGAGTTGCTTGCACTCACTGAATGATATCATCATTTAATCACCGGGATGAGTTTATGTCTTTAGTGAATGGAATTCCAGTTATAAATAAAATGTGAAAAAAGTACAAAGTAATTAGCTGAATTAATCATTTTCAGCCAGTAACTCTTCTTACAAGTTTTATAACCACAAATACTTATTTTTCAGTTTTTTCTCAATTGGTTTATTGTAGAATAAAGTAGTTCAAGCAGGCAGCTGTGTCAGAATGTGTAGGGTGCAAAGGAACAAGTAAAGGTTTATTCCATGCTGAAAAGAGAAGGAGAGAAGCACAACGTTTCGGCTGTGGAGCTTTCTTCGGGTGTCACAAGCCGTGGAAGGCTCCACAGCTGAAACGTTGTGTTTCTTTCCTTCTCTTTTCAGCGTGGAATAAACCTTTACTTGTTCCTTATTGTAGAATATTTTTGCAATCCCAGAAGACCAGCAGTGCCTCAACAGTTTGATAAAGTTCTCTTTGCAGTCATTAAAGGGCAAATTGTATCAGAAACTCAATGAGGAAGTTAGCCAATCACTTTTTGTGTATCCACCCTCTGTGGAATCGCCCATTTTGTCTTTATGGCCTCTTTGGTTTTATGACTCATGGCAACTACCCTTGAACCCGCATGGGGAAGTTGGGGAAGTGCAGACACCTCTGTCCTGTCGCTCATCTTTTGCAGCTTATGTTCAGTAGCTTCAGCACCAGGTGGAAGAGAGGTGGATTTTTCACTGATCTCCCCACAGGCCTGTGGTTACATAGGTTAGGATAACACTGGGGAAAGCCCTTGCGGACTGTGATGGTGCTATATTAATTGTGCACAGAACCCCAAGGACTCCTGGTGACAGTCTGCTTGTGACAAAACCCCTGCTAAAACTAGCGATATCTGGAACGTAGAGCTCATCTCAAGCTTTGAGCGGGTGCTTTTGTTTTTGAGCCACTTGGGAGGCCTGCAGAAAAAAATACTGTAGTTTTAGTTTGGATATTGTGATTGCCAAATGTTGGGCACACTGTGTGAAATTGTTCTCACTTGTCACCCTTCCAGGTTGCTTACAAATCCCTGGAAGGTTTGGCGGCATAGAAGGAGTGAACCCTCCATGCCGCTTGCCCCCTTGTGGCCGGGCAAGGTACAGCAGTAAAGCTGCAGTAGATAGCGCTCACTCCCCCCAGCGCTGGATAACCCTTTCCCCAGAACTAGAAGAGTTGCTTGTCCCTCGAAAGTTGGCAGTGTCCCCCCTGGAGAGCTGGCTGTCCTTGCGCTACTCCCTCCCATCACTAGGCGGCAGCACTGATCCCCAGCCCCTAGAGGAGGGAGTTGGTGAGTCTGAGCCAAAGGCACTGCCCCCCTCTGGAAACCCCACCCCAGGGGCAGATGAGGGCATAAGGCCATTGAGCTGCAAGAACGTCCTGGAGATCCGCCGCAGGAAGATGAACCGACACAAGTACAAGAAGCTGCTAAAACGCACCAAGTTCCTGCGGAGGAGGGTGATCGAGGGCCGGAGGAAGAGGAAACAGGTCAGAATCCGTGAACTGAGCGCTTGAGAGAACACGAGTGAATAGACGCGGTGGGAGGGAAAGAACTGGAAATCCAGAGAGGGGGAGATCCAAAGTGTGAGGCAACTCAGACATGGAGAGATAAAGAGATGGTGAGAATCCACATAGAACCTAGAAGGATTACTGATTGAGACATGCAAACAATGTCGTTGGCACACTAGGTGAGCGCCTTCCCACTTCACTTTTTGATCCTGTCAGGGCTTAACACTTTTTTGATTATTGACTGCTTCACATGTTTTTTTATATGTAGTTTTTACATAGTTTACGATGATGATGATGATAATAATATTCTTATGGGAACTCTCCTACACCACAACCAGTGTGTAGCCCCACCAGGATGATAATAATAATAATAATTAATAATTGCTTACACTTACATAGCGCTTTTCTGGACACTCCACTCAAAGTGCTCTACAGTAATGGGGACTCCCCTTCACCACCACCACACATGTGTAGCCCCACCTGGATGATGTGACAGCAGCCAAAGTGCACCAGAACGCTCACCACACATCAGCTCTCAGTGGGGAGGAGAGCAGAGTGATTAAGTCAGTTCAGAGGTGGGATTATTAGGAGACCATGATTGATTAGGGCCAATGGGAAATCTGGCCAGGATGCCAGGGTTACACCTTTTCGAGAAATGCCCTGGGATTTTTAATGACCACAGAAAGTCAGGACCTCAGTTTTACGTCCCATCTGAAGGATGGCGCCTTTCTACAGTATAGTGTCCCCCGTCACTATACTGAGACATTAGGACCCACACAGACCGCAGGGTGAGCGCCCCCTGCTGGCCCCACTAACACCTCTTCCAGCAGCAACCTTAGTTTTACTAAGGCTAAGCAGGCTCACACCTGCTTAGCCTTCAGTGGGTTGCCAGATATGAGTTGCTGGGTGACATGACTGCCGGCTGCTAGAAATACTCGCTGGAAAATCAAATAACTGGGTTCACTGAACCCCGTGTTGAGCGCTAGGACTAGAAATCACAGCTAACATGGACAAGCGATTTTTACTGGCTTTAATTGGCTGTACTGATTGCAGTCCTCCGTTGTGTTGTCTCCTTGCGAAGTGAGTGAGTCTGTCTGAGCGTGGTGAGTTTAGCTCTGATCGTAGTGTTGCGTCAGCCTCGTGGGACTGCGGTGGGGACTGCGCTTCTGCCTGGCTCAGTGTCTGTCTCGTTTTGCGCCAGGGGCGGTTCGAGAGGGATCTGAAGAGGATCTGGGTGCGTGCGGGGCTGAAGAAGGCGCCCGAGGGATGGACGACTCCGAAGATCTACATTAAGCAGTACCAGGGCAAGGGGGAGTGACTGCTGTGCCCCACAAACACAAGATCCACATAAGCCAGGCGAGGGGGCAACTGCTCAGAGTGCCAGAGCAATTAGACTGCCAGACTCTCAGCCTTACATGACCATCTTAGTAGAGATGTCAAACATGAACCTGCATCAGGAAGTACCAGGAAAAAGGAATGCAAACATGTTGGAAGGCGCTGATACAATCCTTGACCCAAAGCTGGCATCTTACTGATACGCTGTTGGTTTGCTGAATGTTGTATTTAATAAAAAGGGGTTCTGTTTCACTTGCAGAACTGTATTTAAGTTTCTCTCTTCTGTCAGACCTCGCTCGCAGGCTGTTCAGTATGCACAATCCTTCGCCAGACTGCGGCCTCACAATTTCCTGAATTCTTCTGGTTCTTCTCTGTCGTGACCTGTGGCCAGGATTAGCGGTCAGCATGCCAAAGTGGTGCTTTTACATATGGTGCAACGCTCGCATAGGCACACCAGGTGGCAGTAAGGTGCAGAGTTTCCTGAAGCTTGTGAATATAATTTGTCTTGTGAATAAACTTGGAGGGCTCATTTTTTCCATCGTTTCGCTTACCATATCGAAATACCAAAAGCACAATTTCGCCCCACAGTTCAAAGTCAGCAAGATGAGTGAATATCCCCTCCCCTTATGTGTCCAAGAGGATTGTTCCAGATGAGGGCTTTCACTGCCAAACCAAGGAGCCCAGAACAGCAGAGTCCAGCTTTGCGGTATCTGCCTAGACCAGCACAGTGCCTCTCCAGTTGCTGAAACACACTTAGCCCCTGGGCACTTGGGCAGGGATGCCACCTGTGTGAAGCACTAAACCTCATGAGTAATCATTGGCATGCTAGCTTAATAGTAAAAGCGGGTAAGGGATTAATTGCTCTTTGTATCCTTGAACCTAGAATGATAGGTGTGCAAATCGCAACAAAATTTAGTATTTTGGATTAATATTGCACCTTTGCAAGCCATATTTCTAATTACTGTGTTGCCAATTAACAGCAGAGTGATTTCAGTAAAGAAAATCCATACTACTTGCACAATTTTTGGTATAGCTCTATAAGCTTACTTTGACATGCCAGCATAGATAGATATATATATTGTTAATTACACAACAGTGGAGCATTCTACAAAATAAAGCTTATGATGCTGTTACTTATTTTTACCCTTGGGGTGGATAGAATCATCCATTTTTCCATGAAGACATAGGCCTAAAACTGCAGACAATGGCCAGGTATACCCTGGACAGGACACCAGTCTATTGTAGGGCACATACATACTTGCACTGGAAGGGGCGATTGTAGAGATGCCAGTTCATGAGGACAGCATGTGTTTGGACTGTGGGAGGAAGATGGAGAAGAGCCCAGGACCCCAGAGCTGTGAGGCAGCAGGTAATCACTTGCTAGAATCATAACGGGAGACTGAAGTCAGGGACCGTAATTAAGACTGTCCTGCAAGGACGTCTGAAGTGGCACCAGGTCCAAGATACAAACTGCAGATACAAACTGTACGTCTTCCAGGACTCGCAATGTCAAAAAGAATAAGGAATACCAAGTCAATTAAAACACTTGATGCATTAGTTATATTTTTAATCTTTCTTGGAAAAGTAACTAACACTTTTAGTGTTACAAATTCTAAGGCCACATTGAAGTATCTGTGGTTTAAAATAATCTATAGAGTATCTTACCACTTCTGGAGAGGGGTTTGTTACAGATTTCTGCCTTTCACATAGTCTGGTGTTCTCTCAATGAAAATACCAAGCCTCTCACATTACAGTTCTAGCCTGTTAACATGGATTAATGGGACACTGTGTTCAGTTTAACGCAAGACTGTTCATTGACTTTCATTCCGGGAGGCTACTTTAATGATGTTTACTATAAAACTGCAGTGATTTATGATATTTCTTTGATATTTGTGTGACTATTACATTCTGAGTTGCCCATTTAAAATGGATTATCTTATCTTATTGTGCAATTAACCAAGAGATTTGAGATTAATGTTATCTCGTAGTCGGTGTCTGGGCTGCGAACTCCAGCACCACCTGTGACCCAAGCCCAAGGCAGCAGGAGGGATATGTTTTTAAACCACATCGCCGCCCAGCCCTTAAACACCAATATGTGTGCTGGCCGGGGGGCTGAGTGTTCCAATAGTGTCCTTATTGTTCTCCTAAGAGTTTTCTGGGAGCCGGTGCAAGCTGACTCGGCAGCCTGCACTGCGAGTGTCCTGCTGTGTCCTGGGCCTATAAATACACTAGCTTCAGTCTGGGATTGCTGTGGCTTGGCTGTTGCTCCTGGTGCAGTTACCAGATGTGGAAAGCTCAGAGCCTTACCACGGTATTTGGGTAAACTGCTGGTAGGAAGCTGAAACACCATCACAGCCCTCAGGGCAGGTTAGCCTGTGGTGATGGTACCCAGCCTCTGTCTGTCTCAGTTTACCAGTCCTTCCCCTTGTCTGTCTGCTCGTCACTGTGTGCCAGTCCTCCTCCTTTAGGCACTGTCTTTGTCTCCGTGTCTCCCAGAGGTGCTCCTTGCCAAAGCTCTGGACTCGGATGAGGGACACGCCTCGTCTTCCCTATCCCTCTCTTTTCCAGCACATCCTTCCCTCCCACGCTTTGTCTGTCCCCTCTCAGTCTTCCCAAAACACAAGCTGCTCCTTCCAGAACTTGTTTACATCGGAGCACAGCTATCTCTGCAGTCCTCCCTCACTTCTGACCCGCACTGCAATAGGAAACACATCAGGGACAGAAAATGCTGCTCTGCGCTGTGGCCGACCTCAGATGAGCAGATGTTCCAGAATGCAAGCAGACAGCTGTTGATTTCGGTGATGGTGTCAATAAGAACATAGAGTTCACAAGTGAGAGGAAGCTATTCGGCCCATCCAGCCAGTTTGCAAGTTCGTAGATAATTGATCCAAGGATCTCATCCTGCCGTTTCTGGAACTAAGCCAGGCAATCCATCTTTAACAAAATGGCTGGGTAGCTTGTTCCACGCTCCCACAACCCTTTGGGTGAAGCGGTGCCTTCTGTGCTCAGTTTCCAATGCACTTCCACACAGTTTCCACTTGTACCCCCTGGTTCATGTTTCACGGTTCGTTCTGAAGAAATCCACTTGACTGTCAGAGCCTCTGAGGGTTTTGGATGCTTGTATCGGGTCCCCTCGTGGTCTTCTCAGTTCAAGGAAAATGGCCCAGTTCCTCCAGCCTGTCGGAGCATGACATTCCCTTCAGCCCTGGAACATATCTGCTTGCTCTTCTAGGGACTGATTTCAGAGCAGCAATATATTTTCTATAACGTAGTGACCAGAACTGTACACATCCATTGTATGTAAGATTCTGGAAATAATAACTGTAACTAAATTAGAACAAAATAATATTTTAAATGAAGCCTTACGGGTCTGTTATGCAATTTAATAACCCTTGATTTAATATCTACCTTTAATACCAAGCGGTGAAGTGCGTGTTGAGGAAGGTTTCAATAGAAGGTGTGGTGAGACGCGAGAGATGTGATAGGACGATCAGATTGTGCGCTGTCGTTTTTCGGGAATGGGATCGGGCTGGTGTCTGATTGACTGAGGTCGTGGGAGTGCGCCGGCGTTTGTCAGAATTAGGTGACTGATTACGTGAGAGCATGGCGCAACTTTTTAATATTAATTTGACTCTCGGTTTTATTGGTGTAATGTGTATTACATTTGTGCTATCATACAGTACCTTAGGTTTCTTAAAGTGCTCAGATTGTATTAGTAGTATTAGTCAATCATCCATCCATTTTCTAATTGCTACATCCAATTCAGATCAGAGTTGAATCCTAGCAAGCAATGGCCCTGGATGGGAATAATAATAATAATAATAATAATAATAATAATAAAGACGAAACTAAGAAGTAATAATAATTGCTTCACGTATCAAGGCAATGAGTCAGTTGTGCAGCCTGTTTCCGAGCAGGACAGACTGCAGACAGCTGCACCCCTGCTGCTCTCTCGCTGGCCTCAAAACAGAAATCGTCTTGCAGAGTTACACATGGATCAGTGCGTCTCTTGATTTCTGCTCCCCTTGAAAAGAAGCTCGGTTGGTTCACAAGGCATATCACACCTTTCATTGAACTCTTTACTCAGTCATGCCTCTTTTAGATGAGTTTTCCAGTGGCAGCACAGGGTCCAGAATGAGTCTGAAGCTTGCGTCAGGTGCTGGGGTTTCAGATGTCCTCTTATTTATCTTTAGTGGTTTGGCGTCCAAGACGTGTTTAACTGGTGCAATTGGGGAGTTTATCCAATGAGCCTGTGAAGCACCGAAGGTGCTTAAAATGGGAGTGCTTGACTTGACCTGACCAAGTGTCATTCCAGCCTGTGTTTGTACGTCAACCATCCATCGATTTTCTAACCACTTCACCCAATACAGTACTGCATGGGGAGCCGGAGCCTATCCCAGCAAGCAACGGGCCCAAGGCAGGGTGCACCCTGGACAGGAAGCCAGTGTATCGCAGGGCACACACAGACACGCACCAGGGTCCATTTTCCCAGAAGCCAATTAACCTACAAGCATGTCTTTGGACTGTGGGAGGAAACAGGAGCACCCGAAGGAAACTCACACGAACACAGGCAAAACTTACAGACTCCACGCAGACAGCACCACAGGTCCAGAACTGAACCCTATGTCCTAATGCCGTGGGACAGCAATGGTCACCACAGCATCGCCGTGCCACTCAGTTGTACATCAGTAATTGATTATTGATTATTGCTTTGGAGCTGTGTAGAAAGCTAAGGGCAGCAATATTACTGAATCACGGTGAGCGCAAACCGAACTGGTTCCTCTTTGCTGCGTTTTAATTTACTTCTGCAAACGAAGAACCGAGTGCCAGAAAACCATCACAATTCAAGCAATTAGTTGGATGAACGGTTCTATAAGCCTAATTAGGAGCTCATTTAGAAAGAAGACCAGCAGACAAAAAGGAGTGCTCAGTCAGGGAAGCGAAATCCTGGTACAGTTCAAAGTCAGTCTGCAATCTCTTCCAGTCCTTCAGTGGTTTTTAATACCGGAAGCCAGAGCAAATTCCTTGAACATAACTAAAAAGACATTCAGTCGTTTGAGTGTTTATAATGGCCCAATCTCCCGTGTTACCTCGTATAATTTTATATAATCTCCAATTATAATTCTTTTTGTTTCTGCGACATATAAATTGGTGCTTACTTAGTAACCTGGAGGGGGATAGAGAGCGATTGTGTGTTTTCGCCTGGTTTTAATTTGATGCTGAAAATTGCCTTGACCTATTTAAACAAGGTAGCGGGGAGTCTCAGTCGGACCACGAGTTTAGGAGGGGGGTGTCGGAGTCGGTATAAAACCGTGTCCTACCAAGTCAGCACAATTCGAAGTCGACTCTTGACGGCATCGGTTGGGGGAGAAAAAAAAAGAAACAAAAAAAAGCTATACGTACAGTGTTAAAAAGTTAAAAGAAACGGGGGTCTGGTGAGATACTAAGAGGTGGTAAGGAGAGGTTGAGTATGAAATGACCAAAACAACTTGAGCGGGGGAAATATGCGCAGCCGTGTTGTTGAAGAAAGGAGGAAGGTTGGACTGGGTTCAAACTGGGAAAAACAAGTATTTGCTGTGATATTGTTTGGGAGGGGTAGGGGAGCTAAAATCATACTCAAAAGTTGAGGTGGAGTGGGGGTTAAACAGCACTAACACCTGGGAGGCGGTGTGCGAGCAGTACTCCTGGAAACCCGAGAAAGATTAATTTAGAAGTTCGGTTTTCCGACACATACACAGAGAGAGAGAGACACTCTACGCCAAAAACAGACGAAGAACAAACAGTGTTGAGGTTTGAGACGGTTCGGCCTTCTGGAGAGAAAACATCTGCTTCGGAAATAAACTTTTCTTGGGGGGTAGTGAGGAGACGCAGGAAGAAGTAAGCGACCCAGTAGACGGAGCAGTGCTGGCGCAGTGGGGGTTTTCGCTGGGCTTTTCTAACATACTAAAAGCCTTTTTAATGGTTAGAATTGGAGAAAGGGACAAATAACAGACGACAGGGCTGCGAGAGAGGGGTATGGGACAACTGGGTTTGACGCGGACAGACGGAGAGAGCTGAGTGACATAGCCAGGGGGAAGGGACGAGAAGGTGATTAACAGGCGAGGGCAGAGGCGTCGAGTAGCCGGAAAGCAAAGGCGAAGGGGAGCGAGGGGACCAGACGAGGAGGCGCTCCGGTGGAGCGGAGTTTTAACGCACGGGGCGAGGCGGGTGGAGTCGGGACTTGTCTTAGAGTTAGACTGAACCACTCGGGCTCATTACTGCTGTTGTTGCGGGTCGACAAACAGCTAGTACTCAGGTGCGTGCCACCAGCTCTGTGGCCGACAGGTTTTTTCTGACCCCGTTTTTAAAAACTAAAGATTTAACGACCTGGATATGGAGACAAGAAGAGGCTGCTGTTTCGTTCACCTACTTCTTTGTCACGGTAAGGCTTTATTAGCGTTTGCATTGAGTATTGTTATTAATTGACAGTATTGTTTATTATTTTGAACCTTATCCAGAGAGGTTAAAATATTGAGCTAAGAGTCGAATCAGCGTTGTGGTTGTTGTTCTTGGCTGTCATGCAGACGTGGAAACAAATCTTTTAGAAACAGTTTTCGGAGTTGGTAATGAATAAGTACCCCCCCCAAAAAAAAAACTAGGCTACTGATTGAAGCCCAAACAATCTGTAACCTGTTTAGGGTGAGACGTTGGTGAGCAGCAATATTACAAAGAATCGGTTCTTAAGTTTGTATAATTGCTGAAGTTTATTATTTTCGTACTACGCTATCATAGTACACTCTAATGTCAGTGCTGCTATATATCCTATTCAGACTGTAAAATGGCAGTTTTTTTGGAACGGCAAAACAAACAGGAAATATTTACTGAAAGAAATGTTTTTACTTTGCCCAGTTTATGTTTACATTCTTTTCGCCGCTGTTTATAAGTAGCCCTAGGTGTTGTTAGTATTACTGTAAGTACTCCGTGATATTACGCAGCAGTATTACAGTACAGATAAAAACGTGTATACACGACCACATACTTTGTATCGTAAAATATTTTGCCTTTCTGAAGCAGTTGCACTGAATTACACGCTTCAGCATCCCTGTGTAATCCCAGTCGGGTTCAGAAAGTATCTAAAATCCTTGTGTTTACAAAATACTGGGCTTGATTTTCCTCAACAAATATCCGCTGGTATTCAGTATATTGAGTTAGTGAATACTATGCAACTAACAACATCGCCGGCACTCGCAGTTGTAATAACTTAATTAATCACTTCTAACTTCTTCGTATCTGTGAGCTGGAATAAAAGATACAGTACGGGGTCTGCGAATGACGAGGAGTTTATATCGATGTTGATGTCATGAGAAATAAAAACAGGTGTGGCGGGGAGGGGAATATTGTTTTTCATTTTTGCTGTGTTTTTTTTTTTTTTTTTAATTTTGTTTTTCTTAAAAAAACGTGCTTATTTCAAACAACGAGAGAGAGTGCATTTTGCTGATTACTTTTCGAGATCCTCTGTTCGTTTTGTAATTGTAACTGGTGGAATGTATCCCAGCTAGCGATCCCAGGTAGACCAACCAGTCTGGCAGTTACAGCCTGGCAAAGAAAGGGGGCGCTGTGCTGGGGTCAGGCGCAAGAAACTATCGCCAGCGCAGCCCAAGCAAGACATAGTCCACACCTTGGACCGAGGACGACATGATGAGGCTGTCAAAGTCTTGATTTGATAGGAGCAAAGCGCTCAGTGCTGGCAGGCCTGTGGTGGCTTGTTTCGCAGTTGGACTACTATGTCACTGTACACGGATGACTATAAAATCCAGTGGAGTGTTGAGAAACACTGAAAAATCTGCTTATCTGGCAAGGCCCCTCTCTAGTTGTGGTCTATGGGTCTGGCGCTAGGCAGATGTTTGGCCTTTGGTAACAGAAAACCCTAGAGGAACTGAAAAATCAAGTTCCATCCAGTCAGATGACTTTTGCAGGTCCTGCCATTGGATGTGTACCAATTTATGTGAACTGTTCTCCCCCTACAAAGTCCGCAAAAAGCTGCTTCTGTTTTGAAGGGGGATTTGTTAATTGCTTTACAGTCCCCTCTCAGAAACGTTTCATACAGAGACTGAAGAACGCAACAGGGAGAACCAGGAGAAGTGTCCATCCGAGCTGTTTTGTTGTAATATTGAGCAATACACCACTACTGGTCATTTGACACTGCTGTATCATACACAGATTGGTCAATTGGCTCGTAATTCTTAGAGCAGATGTGCATTGCCAGTGTCATCTCAGAAAGGCTTTGTAGGAAAACGTGTTGCAATAGGGAGCTGTAAAAGAACAGCGGACGGATTTTACAAGTTGCGCAAGACGCCCCGTCAAGTAATCAGCAGATGGCAGAAATGAATTCAGTGGACACCAATCGCTCTTATTTGTTTTTGCGTAAAGGATTACCACGCAGGCGGGACGAGCTTCGAAAAAGAAAACTGTACATCTGCAGCAGTGCCAAAATACAATTAGGGGGGCTAGGAAGTTGAAAATGGTGTCCAGATGTTAATTACCACCCAGCTTTGAGCTGAGTGTTTTATGGCAGTGTTTTGAAGTTAGGGGGTGGGGGCGGCTGTCGGGCATGGGGACCAGTTGAGGATGCCTCTAGAATGAGTCGTCTCCTGTTTGTCTCAAATGCAGGTCCCGCTAATGTGTACTTTTGGGGTCTTGATACAGTGATTGATTCATGGTGAATCACGCTGTGGTTTTGTGCTGTTTAGGAGTGTGGTCGACATGCAGAGCCATTCCTGTCATTACTGCTGTCAGGACTCTCATTACTGTCGGAAATCCAACGGGGAAAGAGAGCAAGATAAGAGCTGGGGGAATGGAGGAGATTGAGAGAAACAGATGGCAGCGATGGGGAATAATAGACTGAGTTTAGGAGGACTCAGAGCCAGAGGTAAGGGGAGGGAAGAGAGGGCATCATACTGGGAAGAAATAACAAAGGTGAAGATAAACTGGGAGATAAATCGCAGCAGGGACCAGGAAGAAGGGAAAAAGGAAGAGGCGCTAGAAGAGTGTGTCTGGAGAAGTGGAAGAATTCCAGCGCCCACCTTTGAATAAAAACCTTGTTTTTTCATTCGGATGTACAGTCATTTTGACTCATACGTTGTGTACTAAGCGGTCACAATTCCAGGGCTGTGTAATTTTAGGGGAAGATTGTTCAGAAAGTCCCGTGTGTGTGTGACTGCTCAATCAGCACATGGGGCTGTTTGTGAACAGACGTCACCGTGCCAGGTCATTTGCAGACCACTTGAGAGACCGCAGCTTCAGGAACCTCCACTAGGCTTCTCGGCAGAAAATTAATTGGCCCACTCTCCAGATCCCCCCAGAATCGTCAAAAAACATCCAAAACTTCATTTGCAAGAGTCCCAATCGACAGAGTGTCAGCCCTTCCACCCTCTTGAGATTATTTTGCACTTATGCACAAGTGAATGCATGCAAAGACGCACACCCGTGCAATCACTAACTCAGCACATTCCTGTTCCTGTGTCTCATACACACCCACGCTCACACTCAGGTGTCGATCTGAGAGACTCACCCTTAGCCCATGGCAAAGCTGCTTGCTTATGGGTATGGCTTCTATTGTAGGGCACGCAGATCCCTTCTTGGGCTTTTCTCAAGCTTGTTCCGAGCTTCGCCATGCTTGTGGTAATCCCAAATAACAAATCTGTCCACATTTGGAGCGCGCTTTAATCTGCCTCGCTCAATCCTGCTTTCAAGACCCCTCAACCCTGTATCGTCCCTCTGCTCCTTGCTTTGGTCGTTGCCACTCTTGTCCTTGTGCTTGGCCTGGCTTTTACTGTGCTTTACCTTGCTTTCTCTGTCTCTCTGCTCAACAGGGTTTTGGGTGCTCAGCAAGGAAGATGCTGAATCTCTCCAATGTGGGCATGGCTAAGCATGGCAGACTGGGCAGCACTTCCCTAACAATGGCTTCAAGCCTCCGGAGGTACAAGACTCCAAAGTCCAGAATGCACTGGGTCTGCAGTCCTTCCAAGGCAGAACACTCAATGGGGCACATATCAATGTACTAATGACTATAGGCATGTTCAACTCCAAATCCAAGTGGCAGATCTGAAGAATGTTAAATGAATCCATTTCCTTGTGATTATGTTATTAATATGACCAAGAAGTGCATGTTTATTGCAATAAAGAGAAATCTTTAAACCTTGGGAACTTGCATATAAAAAAAGACTGACAACACACTTAGAATAATCAAAGTGCTTTTACTATTTTCATATATTACGTGACCTTGTGACAGACTGGCGTCCTGACCAGGGCGTATCCTGCCTTGTGCCCGTTGCTTGCTGGGATAGGCTCCGGCTCCCTGCCACCCTGCATTGGTTGAAGTGGTTAGAAAATGGATGGATGGGATGCATGAAAAAATGAGTCTGCATGCAAATCGTACATTAAGGCTTTCTTTAAAAAAACACATGCTCTATACTGATTTTGGAAGTTTCTTATATGTCTAATTTCTGTTTCGAGCAATTGCCACTCCTGAGCTGGCCAGAAGCCTTGTGGGAAGAAAGTTTTACCATGCAGCAGTTGAGTCATCTGACCTGAGACAATATGGCTCTGGTGATCAGCTAAACCAGCTCTAATGCTGCTGGTTGCAGCTTTAGCTCTGCCTAGAAGTCCAGAGTCAGCTATTGTGTATTTGCATGGAATGCAAAAGAGAAAATTACAGGACAAGTTTATTTTTTTACAAGCTCTTTCTCCCCACTCATAAAATTGCCCCATAATTTCAAGTTATGCAGCCTAGTACAGATGTAAAATGGCTGGCAATCAGTGTCTAGTATTCCCAGCAAGGCAGCAGTTAGAAAATTAGTTATTTATTTTTCCCTCTGGGTAACTGCATGTAACACAGGTCAAGTTGATGGTTTCGGGGGGCAGAGATAAAGTTCAGGAAATACAGAAGTCGTAATGTTGTGCAATAATCCACAGCTTTGAAAAATAATGGTACAGTTCTTAATTTCATTGAAAAATTGTTTCCCTTAATTAAATGTGATACGGGGAGGCTGCAGTAATGGAAAATGATTGCTATTTGATGCATTTGGTTGCTAACCAATGTGGAATATTGTTTTATCCAATTAACATGGGTGGCAAATCGTAGATTGTTTTTAAGAGTTGCACAGAAAATGTGCAGGTTGTACATGTTTGCAATGTGTGTGTCTGCTGTATACATCACATCTGTGCTCTTCAGGAGGCAGAGTTAAAACCACAGTATCCCAGCCTTTATAGAAACATCATGTTAAGGACTCTCTGAGCCAAAGAGCCGTGATGACAGTATGAATGGGGTGGGTTTCTGAGGGGCTGTCATTAACATACACAGGCTGTAGGGAGTGATCCAACCTGGAGCAGAACTAGGGGAAGACTGGACTGGCTGTGATAGACTAAGAGCACAGTCAACTATTAGTGGATATGTTCTTCTCTTAGCTGCAGTAAATCACATCTGTGCTCCTCAGGAGGCTCAGTTATGTGCATCAGGAAAAAAACACAGTCTGCTGCTGGCTGCTCAAGCAGTACGTCTGTGTGCTATTTCTGCAGCACTAACAGCTCGTCTTGAGATGTCCTGTGCCAACACAAGTTACTGCATCACTTTTACCTACATAAGGAGAGTGGTCCTAAAGTTAGCCAGCCTGTTCGCAAACTGGAATGCGAAAACTCCATAACTTGCAGCAATTAAATGCATACAGTATAAATGGGACCACGGGGAGCACATTTGTTTGCCTCAGAGTGGCTCCTGTCCATGATGCCTTTCATGCATTCTCTGATGCACACCAATGATGTCTGGTGTGTGTCCTTACAGTCCACAGCAACACTTTCCCCACGGTCCCACGTCTGTGTGTTTGCTGGGTGCTGCACTCATATCATATAAGCCTGATATTTTAAAGAGGGGGTGAGTTTTAAAGTGCTTGAATAAGAAAAGGAAATAATATCACACTGCAAATATTTTCTGTATTTGTGTGTTCTAGTGTTTACTAGTGTTTTTTTGGCCAAATGTAGACCAAAAGATAAAGATCCTAAACATATAATTATTAATAAAATTACATGTTTATACATGGGTTACTTTCTTGAGTTAATGGCATTATAGCAGCAACTGGTCTGACACAGTGGTTCACAGTGGTTCTGCTGTGATTTTCATTGCAGGCTTCAGACCTTAAATCTTTTCCTTGTTCCAGGTAAGGTGTGACTGCAGGACTGGTGGGGTTTAGCAAAGCACAATCAATCTCTGAATGCTGGATTTTGTCATTTTGTGTCTGCAGTTAAATAAGAAGAACTTTCAAAGTACATCTTTTGCACTTTATGCAAAATAAGTAAAGTTTTTACCGTTGCATCTTCAAGACATTTCTTGATTCAGCAGAAGCTGTTTAACTGCCACTATTCAAGCTCCACAGTCCCTCCTTAAAAGGTTTCTGTCATGCTGTGCAGTTGAAAGGAGATGTTGATGTGATACTAGGAGAGGAGTGAATGTGGTAGAAATGATGCTGATTAGACCCTCAGCCTCTGCAGTCTTTGCTGTGTTATTGTCAGTCCTCAGTCTGACTGGTGCTGAGGTGTTTTTTTTAGAGTGGTATGTTGTGAAGCGTGTTGCACTGACAAAATATCATTGTTTGTGTTTCAGTGGTGGCAGCCTTCCTCTTCGTAAGTGGTGAGTATTGAACTGCCCTCAACCGTGCGCCTTCAGAGAGATCACTGTATCATGAAAACACTGTGGTCAACTGCCTCCCAGATTAAATGAATGCTTTTTGAAACAGGATTGCTAAATTCAAAACCACATATCAATAGCAGGATTGCTATTGCTGAAACCTGTTCTCTAGGCCTTCAGAATGTCTCGATGGCAAAGGTGCTGGACCATCAAGCAATACAGGCGTCATGGGTTCGAGTTCTGGGTCATGACAATAGCTGACTGGAACCCCGAGAGGCACATAACCGGCTGAGCGAAGCCGAGGGTGGGTTGGGGTGGTTTAGTGAGACAGGCTCTTGGCGACACTGCAACAAAGCTGGGGTGCATTACTGATGTTGAGGAATGTGCCCCTCCTGCAGCCACCAGCAGGGGGCAGTGCTCCCCGTGACACGTTGAAAGGGGCAGAGGCGTTGAAGGAGGCGTTCGCCTGCACTGCCTCGTCCTCTCCTGTGTGCTTTTGCACGGGTTCGTAGCCCATGAGCTGAGACACATAAAACATGCAAGTGGCTATTGCAGACATTGGGGCGGTATAACACAAACGAATTGGCAATTCTTAATTATGAGACACAAAATCTTAAATGACGACACCTGAAGAAGGCTCCACAGCTGAAACGTTGTGTTTCTTTTCTTTTCAGCAGGGAATAAGCCCCGCTACCTGTTCCTTTGCAGCCGACACATGCTGACGCAGCTGCCTACTTAAATGTATTACTGCATGGATTAAACTTATTGACATATTTGCCTCTTTTGCCAAAGGCACAACGTTCGTTTTCTGTTTATGTAGCAGTTTAGGTTTATATGTTCCTCCTTTTGAGGATTGAGAAGTGCCAACAGTGACCCCACTTCAGTTGGGTGGAAGGCAGGCTGCTTATCTTTGAGATGATTACGGTTTATGTTCTTTGGTTTTAACAGATAAAATGCCCCCGCTGCTGCATAAAATTGACCTCTGTGCTTATCCAATTAGCACTGGAAAAACACTACAAAAATCCCTTTGACATGCCAGTTTCAAAGGTGACTAACTTCCCCCCTTCCTGCCTCACACACATTGATTTAATGAGTTTATTAATCCCACTATCACTACAGCATACACAGAAATACACACGCACGGTGGAATTTTAAACACTGCAAGCAGAAGCAATAAGAGCCCCGTCACATAAAGCCCCAGAAGAGTTTACCCATGTGGTCCCACTTGGAGATCATTGTGGATGACAACGTGTGCCATACTCCTGTCACTATAAACATGGCAGTGATGTGTGAAGCATCTGCTGCAGTAATGGATTTGCTGAACACAGAGCTTTTTACTTCCTAATAATAAACACTGCACTTTTGAGTGCCCATTTCTGAAGGGATATTAGCGTGAAGGCAAAGGAGAAAGTGTTACGATAAATGCGTTCTTCTAAGCTATTAAACTTCTTGTAGGGCCTAGTTAAAGAAGTTATTCATCTTAAAACATCCAACTAGAAAACAAAGCTTTAGCAAAAAGGACTTCTTACATGTCATCACTTGTGAGGCAACATTAAATTGGGTTGCAAGCCTTTGGAAAATGACCAGGTTTATTCATTTATGAAGAGCAAGTGAACAGAAACAACTATTTTAAGATCTGCTCAAAAACACTCAATTCTCACATGCAGGGTATACTGTAATCTACACATCTGCACAAAAGCTACACTCTGTACAGCCACATGGACGTTGTGATCTGTACAACTGTACACACACATTGCGTTCTGTGCATCTGTACACACAGTACACAAACGTACATGGTGATTCCCTGACCAAACAGGTTAGTTGGGCCAAATAGACTCTTCTTGTATGTAATGTTTCTTGTGTTGTTATGCGCACAGTATTCTATTCATACACGTTCTGTGTTCTCATGAAGGCCTTATGCTGTCAACATGCAACTGTGTGCTCTCTCTCAGCGTTGGCACAGAGTAATGGAGAGAGCGTAGTGGTGGCGACGTACAACATCAGCGCCCCCGCAGGCTCGGCGGCAGTACTGCAGTGTCACAGTCAGCGCATGGTGTGGACTCAGGACCGCCTGAAGGACCGGCAGCGTGTGGTGCACTGGGATCTGCACCGCGTGGGGCCGGATTTCAGAACGGAGCGCATCCTGGACATGTTCTCTGCCGGCGACCAGCGAATCTACAATGGCTACAACCAGGGCCGTGTCAGCATACCACAGACTGCCTTCAGTGATGGCAACTTCTCCCTCATCATCAGAGGTGAGGAAGGCTAGCATATTGACAGAGGGACTGGACAGAATGCCACCAAAGTGAGTAACCCTGACTTACCCGCCAACAAAGTGACTAACACTGGCTAATCTAACCCGCTGCCAGAGCGACTAACACTGGCTAACCCGCTGCCAGAACGACTAACACTGGCTAACCTGACCTGCTGCCAGAGTGACTAACACTGGCTAACCTGATATCAAAGAGACTAACACTAGCTAATCTGCTGCCAACGTGACTAACACTGGCTAACCTGCTGCCAGAGCGACTAACACTGGCTAACCTGCTGCCAGAGCGACTAACACTGGCTAACCTGCTGCCAGAG